TGATAGCAGACAGATACCGTTGAAACGTGCAACTTTTGAATATCTTCGCTTGTCACAGAAACTGAGTACGGATGCACATCCAGCTTTCAATCCCGATAACAGAATAACAGTAACAGTCAAATGAATGCTCACGATAAGAAACGAACTGATGAGGATTATGCAGACAGAGAGAGAAGCGAGCACTACTCGAAACACAGGCAAACACTTCGACGACTGCATTACGAGGCACGGCGATTTTCTGTTACACTTACTTTACGTTCCCTTTCGCACTTATCTTTCGCAAACCTGTCTGGAAGGAGCGCTTTAAGCAACAAGTACCATTCAAACTTCGCGGATGGCATGATTTTTAGCGCAAACAATGCTTGAGAAATGAAAGGAAAACTGCAACAATTTGGGAAGCAGGCGTGAAAATCAACGCATCGAAATCGTAAACAATGCAGCGAGAGTCGCTGTGTTGACGGACAAACAACTGAAAGACGATGATGAGCTGAAAAAAAAAAGGACAGCAACATCGAAGTTGGGAGGAAGTGAAGATGAAGCACACAACTTCAAGTTGGCGAGCGCCGGCTGGCACAACTCTGCGGATGTCCAGTGGAAGCAGTATGCAAAAACAGAAATGCAGGTTGTGAAGCAGCAGCAGCCAGTTGCGAGCTCAGAACGCAAGAAAAGAACGCGACGCGCACGCTCATCGGGAGCTGCAGCGGAAGCGAGGTGCCGGCACTGATCGAGAACTGCACGAATTCAGAATATCTCACCGCGCCCGAACAATCAAAGAACAAACTGAACTGCGCACCCAGAGCTCGTCCTGGTGCTCACTTCCCTTCTCCGAATTCGGTGAGCTCGACGACGGCGAAAAAATAAGATGGTGTCCGATGAGCGCCAGCGCGCCCGGCTGCGGCCGCCGTGGGCCTTTCCGGAGAAAGACGTTATCCACACGGGAACGCTCGATCGCTTCCGACAATTCCATTTTTCTGAAAGCGTACGCAACACGATGCCACTTCTTCTGCAGTATTTCGAAAAACTTACCTCTATGTGCGTGCCTCTGTGTACAGTAAGTGCATGTGTTCACGCCTGTACGCATCTGTGTGTAAAATGCGTGCTTGCCTGCATACGTATACGTTGTGTGTGCAATGTACATGTGCATGTGTATGTTTGTGTGAATGTGTATGTTTGTGCATGTGTGTGTGTGTATGTGTATATATATGTGTGAGGACGTATATGTGACATGACCGTTGAAGCAGGACACGATGCAAGACTACACAATTACACGACGTCAGGCTTTGGATCCCCTGACACCCACTGCAAAATTCTGCCAGCACCGAGCAAACGCAATGTTATCCAGAAAAAGTTTCCCTTGTTTCGCAGTGCTACCACAACTGGAGGGGATCTGGTTACGCTGCAAGAACCTGTTGCTGCACGCACTGGCCCAGTCACGCAGCCTACGACCAGGGCAACTTGCTGAGTCAAGCCGACCACACAACTCACTACAACACCCACACGCAAAACCCACATAAGGAAAGGTAATTATCGAGACACAGTTCGATTTAGCCCAGGCGCACAATATGCATACACTCATTTTCGCATTTACAATAACTCGGCTCGGCCAGCGTCATTCACGACCCGCAAAAATTTTTTCTCCCGGCGGATGGTAAGGGCTGCCCTCCGGCGAATGGCGAAGGTTTGAAAGTGACAGATAAAAGGGGAGGTGGTATGCTGCGGGTTTAGTTCGAGGCAAGGGAGGGGGGGTTGGGACAAGTAATTTAAAAACTAAGTGGCGTAGATTATTTTTCGATAGTCACGTACACTTGGAGATGAGAAAGAGAGGGGCGATGAATGGTAAGGATAAGGAAGTGTACTCCTGATTTTTACCGTAGCTATTCGGTAGGAAGGCAACTACTAAAACTCGGCTCGGCACGGTTCGGCTCGGCCGGTGCGTTTTGCGCCCCAATGAGGCGTCTGCCATCTCTGGCAACACTATTTTGTATCGCCAGAAGGAAAATCCCCTTGGCAACGTGCCAAGGGAATGAGGCAACGTTGCTCGTACAGGAAGTGGAGGATGGTGACGTGCTGGTGGCTTGGTGCGCAGTGTGCGTGCTTTTCATGCAAGAAACGGGCGCCTTATGCAAGAAAGCTGGTTTTGCAGACTTTCCCTGATTTTTTGTTTTGTAGCCCTGGAGAAGGATAAGAAGACCCGGAATTGAAAGCGTTAAGAGG